CCGGTCCAGACCGGTTCGGACCGGCTGGACCGGTTCAGCATCAGTTTTATCCAGTTCAGTCAGTTATTTTCAGTTTCAGTCCCGGTTTTCAGTCTCAGTGTTATTTTCAGTAAATTTCCGGGTCAAGTTCAGTTCAGTTAATTAATGCCAACTCAGTTTTGTACTTAGCCGGTTTCAGTTATACCGAATAAGTCCGAATATTATGTCAGATTCTATAAAGCATCTTAACATAATTAAACAGCTAAATTATCAGTCTGAGCATAGCCAATAGTAATTGTTTATATTATTTTCAGTTTGATCAGGCATCAGCACTACCCTTCAGTTTCAGTTTCAGCAAATTCAGGTGGGGACTCAGACTAAGTATTACATGGTTTATAATCACGTTACCATGGTCGAGGTATGTATATCAGTAACCGCTCGGGATGGTCGCCGGTCCATTCTGAGTTCTAGTGGCCTGATCTAGCCTCTAGAGTGTGCACATGGTCCGGTGTTAGTTTTGCCGGGAGATTTCAGTTATCAGTTACGCGACTTATGTTGCGAGATTCAGTTATCAGTTACGTGACTTCGGTCGCGAGATCAGACCGGTTTATCAGATATCAGTTTCAGTTCAGTTGTATATACTTAGTTCATGATCATGTTATTATTTACGATGTTGTACATTAGCATGAGTTTCTGCGGAGCACAGTGCCTTAGTGCTCACGCCCCACACCTTTCATGTTTTTCAGGTCGCAGGGTCGGAGATGAGGAGTGAGCGGGCGAGCTGTTCAGGACATTTATGTTTATTGTACTTATGATTTGCCACGCTAGACTTCCGCTAAAACTTTTCAGTACTTTTTATCAGACTTTGCTCCGACATTAGTCGGAAAAGACATTATGACCGTTTTATACATCAGTTTAAATTTTAACGGTTTTCAGAAATTAAGTTTTTCACGGTAGCCCCCGAATCAGTTTCGCAAAATAAGAAGTTTATTTATTTATTCAGAAAATTTGCGAAAATCGCGTGCTCTGATGTATTTTAAATAGCGGGGTGTTACACGCTAGCTTCGGTAATATAATATATTAATTAATTCTTGATTATTAGTGATCGAATTAATTAATGGACATTATATCTTAAACATAGGGAGGTAAATCGGATAATTATAATAAGGAGTCTCAAATGTAATTTAGGATAGGTGAGGGGAGTGCAATAATATTATTGTGGTGGACTTTAATATTATTAATATATTAATTGTGGGGTTGCTCCACAGTATTAATATATTAGAAGCCCTTATCCTATTCTCCTTAAGGTCCCTACTGTAGCCTTATATATACAGCATTAGGCTCTTGGAATAGAATATACAATCCTATAACCTTGGGAATTGCGTCCGCCCCTCTCTCTCTCTCTTCCAAGGAGTTGTTCTATTTCTTGTGCTCCACTGATACAAGATCTAGATAGTTGTTTGAGAATATAGTAGAAGATGAAGGTATATACGGGATTCCAATCAAATCTATCATCCATCCAAACCGGAGACCAAAACCAGCAAGTGACCATACCACGACGACCAGGACGACGAGTCGAAGAGATCGCCGTAGAAATCGCCGCTAGCCGCCACCGCACGCGCCCACACGCTCCACCGGAAGATCGCAGCTGCTGGGACTCACACGCGCGCGTGAGAGCGCGTGGAAGCACCATTTTCTGAGCGGTTAACGCCGTTGACTTCGCCGTGACGCCAGCTTTCTGGATTGGTCAAGTTTGTTCGATTCCGAGAAGATTTGATTTGTGGTCATCTATTCGGGCCAACCAGATCTACATAAATTTTAAGCAGTAAGTTTTCCACATCAAACCTTTAGATCCGCTGCGCATAGGTTTATGTTGAATGTTTGTCCGTGATTTGTGCATATCGAGATCCTCAGCAGTCCCAACAATTCGTATCAGAGCAGAGGTTAATCTGTTATGTACAAGATCCGGATTAAACGGCTTATATTGTCTATGTGTGCTCAAGCGCAGCCATATATATTGGATTGTTTGCATAACTTGGTTTTGCAGGAAGTAGTTAATCCACTATTATGGCCACCCTTTTATGTGCTTGTGCTTCATTGATGGTTGGTTGTATGGTTTTAAATTTGTTTGTAAAGCCTCGTGATTGTCGAGGAATTATGGATGAATGCTTGTATTAATTGCCCGGGGGTTGACCGGATAGTTTAATTTATTAGTAGAAGGCATGTACATCCACTCGCTGGATCAAGGAATCGATTTATGTAATTTTGTTAATTATATTTTTCGAATTGTGATCGACCGTTGGAGACCGGGCCTTCACAAAGATCCAAAGAGCCTCGACGAACAAAGCAAGGAAGAAATTGGAGCTGGGAGCCAAGGCTG